CTTGTGTTCAAGATCCCAGCTCTAAAGAAAGAAAAGAAATGAAAAGGTAGGTGGCCTCCACTTCTCCAGGGCTGGTGGGCTCCGAGCCTCCTGCCTCTCAGTGTGCTGGACCGCACAGAGCGGCTAGGGTTTTTTTTGGCCTGGGCGACTTTTTTGCTCACAGGTCACAGTCAAGCTTCTTAAACTTGGATGACAGTAAACCAATGACTAACTGGGTAATTAAAGCCACAAGTCAGGAGACCTGAGGCCCCTCCTCTGGAACCTCCTCCAGTGGCCTGTTCCACAGGCGATGCCCCTCGCTCTTCCCCACAGCAGGAACGTTTTTTGTGAATGTAAAGCCCTCTGCGGTGACCTCCACCTCCTCTCAAGGTCACTTCTCCACTTGTCCATTGCTCCCTCCCCCTCCCCACCCCACCATCCCTGTCCACTGCAAGGAAGGAGGAAATCTAACCACACGCCCCACCCGCTGCCCCAACGGGAACATGACAGAAGGTTTCCAACTAAAACCAAAGTTACTCCACAGCGCTTCCGCCAGGCTGACATGCTAGAAGGCATGGTGTGCTTCCTCTGCTTCAGGCACTCGAGAGCCTCCCCACTTCCTGGGGAGAGTGGATGAGAACTTCAAAGCTGACAAGGCCGCAGCTGAGAAGAGCTGGCTTGCTTCAAAGACCGTGTCTCCTCCGGGTCTGGAGCTCTTGGTGAATGTCTCTCCCTGCTTCTGAAACAAAATGAAGAGCTGCTGAAGTTTACGAGGTCCCAGAGACATTTCTGTGTGCATCGCTCTAACAGAGGACCCCTGCGTCTGCACAGCAAGGTCCCTAAGCTCCCCTTGGCAGGGATGCTTTCTGTGTTTTATGCCTCTTTGATGCCTCTGCCCTCTTTCCGGCTGGCCCTCTGGCTGCCCCTGCATCCTCCGTCTTCTCCACCTGCCCTCTATCCCTCCTGCATCCCTGTTTTAAGCAGCAGCCCCTTTTCCACTGAGGAGACATGGGTGGAAGAGGAGTTACAGTTGGGGGTTGGAGGGCGATAGGATTTTTTTTTTTTTTTTTTTTTTTTTTTTTGCGGCACGCGGGCCTCTCACTGTTGCGGCCTCTCCCATTGCGGAGCACGGTCTCCAGACGCGCAGGCTCAGCAGCCATGGCTCACGGGCCCAGCCGCACCACGGCACGTGGGATCTTCCCGGACCGGGGCACGAACCTGTGTCCCCTGCATCGGCAGGCAGACTCTCAACCACTGCGCCACCAGGGAAGCCCCTATATGATTTTTGTATGCTATTCCAGAATAGGTTTGTGGTTATTTTAATTAAAAAAAAATAATTAATGTTCCCTCCGAATCTTTGAGGATCTTTGATTGCAGGAAGCTGTGGACCATGCTAAGCCCATGGCTCTCTGATGGTTACCCGCCTCGGCAGGCTGCTGCTTACACTGGGATATAACAACCAGGACATGAGAAGCAAGGGTAATTTGGATTTTTACTTTTTAGCAAGGATCTCTTTCCACTGAAACTGTAAAACTCTAGAAGGCAGGGGCTCTCTGACATTGAACCTCATGGTCTTGTGATAATGCCTGGAAAACAGTAACTGTTCTCAGAAGATGTGTGTTTGTTAAGTTCCTGTCATTCCTTAAAAAAAAAAAAAAAGATTAAAGAAGTCACTCTGTGTTCTCAAGATGCTGCATGTGTAAGTGTTTAGGCCACATACATGTTGAGAAATTGCACATATTTCGTCTTCATCTCGTATCGCCAAGACCTGATGTTACCAAACCTCTTGTCTCATCCACTGTCTTATCATCTGTGCTTAGCAAACTAAGACATAGCAAACCAGACGAACTTTCGGGAAACCTGCAGACATTTGAGGGCATTTGAGACAAAAAAAATCCAATAGAGTTCTAAACGGAAACAAGAAGCAGAAAGATGGTCCTGTTGTAAAGTGGCCCCAAGCCTCAGACCTGCCTCGGATGTCACCAAGTGCCTCTGGCCTTCGGGGCCATTGAAGATGCTCAGCTCGGCATCTCTGCTGTGGCTGGACTTCCTGGCCAGCCAGGCCCGAGGGCGGCAGAGGAGGAAGTGCTGTGGGTGAGGTGGGGGGAGCACAGTGCACACCCAGGGGTGACTGCAGGGAGGAGACTTAGGACAGAGGAAAGCACAGGACGGACGACCCCCTCTGCAGAAGCGACTTTCTGGCCCCCTCGTCTCCCAAACACGCCCTCCAACTAAAAAATATTAATTGTGCCTAATTCTGAAGGCCCACACGTGTGTGTATGTCTATACCTGTGTGTATGTCCTACCATATCTCTTTGTTCCTGGGGAGAAACATAAGCTACAAGCCTCACATGCCTCTTCCTTGCTGAGTTACTACTGCTTAAAAAGTCAGAGAAAAAAAGCTCAGCCCAACCGTCTACGAACAGATAAATTTAAGCAAGAACGGCTTGAGTTCCTGCCAGTTGCTGGTGAGGCAGTTGTTAAGTGTGATGACAACCACCAATTTAGTGAAGGGTCAGTAGTTTGTTTGTTTGTTTGTTTTTAAATATTGAAACCCTCTCAGTTATACTTGATCCCTTACTTGAAATCATAGCAAATAGTAGCATTATGGTGACAGAAAGAATTCAACCACTTCCTGGCAAGTAATGAGTACTTCATTTTATTCTACTTTTCTGGAGTTAGTTTAGAAGTCACATCAAAGTAAATTTTCGCTGATCATCCTTGAGTTTGCTGATCCCAAGGAGGGACTCAAGGGCAGGATCCCCTGGGATCCACTCTGAGCAATGGGGAGTCCCTGTCCCCCAGGCCATCTGCTGCCAACAAGCCAGGGCACTGGACCTGGAGGGCTGCATTTTGGTCATAATGAGCCATCTGGCTGCCTGGCAGAAGGAGCCCATGGGAGTATGTGTCTGAGATGTTACTGACATTACCACTGACCTTTGCCAAGGAGTGGCTTTGGTTTTATCCAGAATGGCTCAGCCTGGTGGTAAGAATACATCATCTTGGTCCAGGACACTTTCAGGGATTAGGCTCAAAATCCTCAGCCTCCAAATTGAATATTTTCTTGTAATTATTTTTTTAATTGAAGTATAGTTGATTTATGGTATCACGTTAGCTTCGGGTATACAACAAAGTGATTTGAGTTTGTTTTTTTGCAGATTATATTCCATTATAGGTTATTACAGGATATTGGGTATAATTCCCTGTGCTATACGGCAAACCCTTGTTGCTTATCTATTTTATGTATAGTAGTTTGTATCTGTTAATCCCATACAGCTAATTTGTCCCTCCCTCCCTCCTTCACTCTCCCCTTTGGTAAACCATAAGTTTGTTGTCTGTGCTTTAGTCTGTTTCTGTTTTGTACATAAATTCATTTGTTTTATTTTTTATATTCCACATATAAATGATATCATATAGTATTTTTCTTTGTCTAACTTACTTCACTAAGAATGATATTCTCTAGGTCCATCCATGTTGCTGCAAATGGCAATATTTCATTCTTTTTTATGGCTACTTGAGTAATATTCCACTGTGTATATATACCACATCTTAAGCCAATCTTCTGTTGATGGGCACTTGAGTTGCTTCCGTGTATTGGCTATTGTAAATAGCGCTGCTTTGCGTGTCGGAGTGCATGTATCTTTTTGAATTAGAGTTATGGTTTTTTCCAGGTATATACCCAGGAGTGAAATTGTTGGATCATGTGGTAGTTTTTTAAGGAACCATAACTGTTTTCCACAGTGGCTGCACCAATTTACATTCCCACCAACAGTGTACAAGGGTTCCCTTTTCGCCACATCCTCTCCGGCATTTATTATTCGTAGACTTCTTGGTGATGGCCACAAGTTGAATATTTTGTTGAGCGCTAGGGGCGTATGCTGCACCTGGGTTGTTCTGCGACTACGTCCTGCCCACCCCTCTACCTTTCAAGGAGGGGGGTCTCTACCTATATTGTTGCTCTTGCATGTGTCCTGACCCACCACAATGGCAGGGCCAAAGCCTGGCTTCTGGAGGTTTCCTTTGTTTTTTTAGATAAATGTGCAATTTAAGGATAAAGAGGGTTTGCTATATAATGTAGCTTTAGAAGAAATCCTTTAGCTATTCCTTGCTCCCAACAAAATGCCACCCCCAAGATTTTCCCACATAGAAATTCTGGAGCCACTACTCATCTATGGGACGTGTGTCCTGAATAAATTGTTTCTGCTAGAGTTCCAAAGTGCAGAAGTGATTAACCTTTAAAAACTAAATGAAACATCAAGGTTGTCCATGTCATAAGTTACTCCCATGTTACTTGGGTTTGGTGGTTTTTCTAGGTGGGAGAGGAGATGGTGTTACAGTCTGTATACTGGGTGTCACACCCAAGGAAGTCCAGGGAGTGGGCTGTGTTATTAGGGGTGGTTGGGAGCAGGGCAGACAGAGGCAGAGGGCAGGTGAGCACTGCCGATCCCTGGCCCTGAAGCGGAGGGGGGGGAGCTGGGGGGTTACACAGCAGTAAAGAAAGGGGATTTCGAGGGTCTTAGAAAGCCAGAGAACTTCCTTCCCCTCCAACCAAGGAAATCACCAAGGAGATGGATTTAACTCTTAAGACTTAATAGCCTCCTTTGGGGGTTCTGCTTTTTTTGGGAATAGAATATTGGAGCACAGCCAGACCAGTCCTCTAAGCCAGGTTTTCTACTCAGAGTCTCAGACTGTGGCTAGAAGTTGTGATTTGCTTGGTCTGAGGAATTTTGTAAATTCAAGGTGTCATCATGCTAAAATTGGGAGAATTCAGGTAACACGGAGACTTCTGACTTCTCTAAAGAAGCAGAAGTGTTGGCAACATTAGGCTGTCATTGGTGCACGGCAACAGCAGGCGAGAGCAGGTGCTGGCCGACCCGTTAGCTGAGGCACACCCGCTCCCCCCTACACACGTACACGTGCATCCCCCCTCCTGCTTGGGTGCCCTCCAGGCAGGGAGGGTCCTACCATGGACCACCGCACCCCTGTTCTCCCTGCCACTCAGAAGCAGTCTAGACACACACTTCTGGATCAAAGTCAGCCCCGAGAGCCACGATTTATTCCTGCCTCTGCCCTCACACAAACACAAAAGGCTCCTCCCCATTTACTAAAGCCAAAGAATGTCAGCATTAACCCATGATTGAAACTTGTGAAAGAGGAGCTCAAGGCAGCTTCAGCCTTAGCATTCCACAGCTCCTCATTAGAACGGGGACTTTTTGTGACTCTGGGACAGCTGGAGACACATGACTGCATTCAGAATCTCACGCGAAGGGTGCCGGCCTCAAGGACGCAACTTGTGGGATTCCTGACGTGCTCCTCGGACTTGGGGCAGGCGTGCTGGGTGTGCCACACCACAGCACGATGGCGAGAAGGACCGGGCTGTCGGGAACAAGGCGGTGGACAGTCACCGTCTGGGCCAAGGTCCCGCCGGCCCCAGGCGAGGCCAATTCACTGGCTCCAGAGCAGAACCAGCTAAGAAACAGGCACGGCCCCGGCGCCCTCTCCCCCACGCCACGCAAGTTACACACTCTGACGTGCTGGCTGCTCCCCGGGGTACATGCTGACTCTCTCACGGGGCTTCACGGTGAGGGCCACCGTCTCCTCTGGGCTGAACTGCGTGGAACTGCGCAGAATATGCTCCAGGGGGCTTTGGAGTCAGAAAACACTGGAGCCCTGCGAGGCATCTTAGATAGCATCTGCTCCAGGGTTCGCAACGGAGACTGCTCTTCAGAATCACCTAGAACACAAAACCCAGGTTCTGAGGCTCCAGATCCCACCTCCGCAGCCTACCCCCCAAAACACACACAGTGATTCTGCTGACCAGTCAGGTTTGGGGAACCGCTGATATCGTCCGAACCCTTCACTTCTGTTTCTGAAGTACAATCCTGGGTTAAGTAAGTTTTCCAAGGTCACACAGCTGGTTTGGCAGGACTGGGCTTAAAGTACGGGTCTCTTGAATATAACCCAGGGCTTTTTCTACAACACACCACCTCCTGGACGTACCCATGAAGGGAACGCCAGACGACCCCAGAGGGTCTGGGTAAGGAAAAGGCTAAGAGGCATAGTCTTTGTGCATGTGAAGTAACCCCAGATAGTTTCCCAAATACTGGCTCCCACTGTGGTTTATGACGCAGATGCCATAGTCTCATGTCATCTGGGCAGGAGATTCTGCTTCTGGCTCTATAATTACCCCAGTTTCACTTGTCCTTTGAGAGGTCAGGGAAAGAACTATGCATGTGTGTATAGACTTCTCCGTGCCTCAGTTTACCTCTATAGAAAATGGAGAGAATGGCGGCACCCTTACGCCTGCCTCTTTGGAGCTCTGCAGACCTATTGCATGACCACACAAAGGCACCCTGTGATCCCCTAGGCAGAGAAAGAAGCCTTCCGTATCCACACAGAGCTAGTCATAAACTCAAGGCCACTCTTGCCACATTTTAAATAGTTCTATGTCAGAATACCACTGTGACTCCACTAGCTACCCTGCACGCCCTCCAGGAAGGGCTGCTCGTCTCCTCCTGGTCTCTGGAGGGCTGGTGAAATATTTCCTGTGGGTGATCTTGGGAGGAGCCCCAGTTTTGAAGGACTAAACAAGATTTAAAAATTAGATACTACTACTAGTAGTGAATAGCTGGCATTGAGTTGTTATTAAGTGCCAGGCACTCTGCCAAACACTTCACATGCATTTAATCCTCACTACAGCCCTATAAGTGAAGTGTTATGAGTATTCCCATTTTACAGACGTGGAAAATGAGGCTCAGAAAAGTTAACTTGCCCAAGATCACATAGCTGCTAAGTGACGGAGCCGTGATTCAAACCCACATACTCCAGTCTCCAGGGGCAAAGCTCTGATAAAGGGGGTGGATGAACAGGTCACTGTCGTCATGAGGTTAACCCTCCACGTGACACTGCCTTGTACTTGCCAGTGGAATGTCACGCCCTAATGCAGCTCAAGCCAAGGGCAGCTTGGGCGCTGCAGCTGTGACTGTCTGCTGGGATGTTCACAGCTCCTTCCATTCAGGGACTGCCTGACCCAGCCTGACCAAATTAGAGCATCTAACGGGCATGACATAATTTGACATGTACATTGTTAGCTGAAGCCCTTGGGAGATGATTTTAAATAGAGACAATACCATGCTGTGAACTATTTTGGGTCACCGAGCCCTTATTCTCTAACTCTTGCAGGAAAAAAGAATTGTGCCATGATAAACTGAAAACCCCCAAGAAGCTGCTCCAGGGTCAGGAGAGCAGCAGGCTAGCTGGATTGGCAGAGATTCTTCCTGAGAGTTTCAGGGATTTCACCCTCATTTCCTAGCACTTTATCCCCCAAACATTCCCAAAACCCTAGTTAAGAACTGCTAAGTCTATCCATCCTCCTCCTAGATTCAGAACCCCAGTCAAAATCCAGCACTGGTAAGACTGCAAAACAGGCACGGCTTGAAGCCCCCATATGCACCCCCCATCCTGCTTTTCCCTTTCTCAGGTGCACAGAACCAGCAGTCTACCCAGGGCCATGCTGAGGGACCACGCAGGTCCACGCTCTCTGGGCATCACCCGATGCCCAACTCCTAGTCATAGCAAGTCTTTCCTGTCCTATTTCCCATGCCCTCATACTTGCTTCCTGACCTTCCTAAAGAGTATGTGCAGCCCTGTGTGCTAGTGCCACTGATACTCATGGCTTAGACCTACTGACTATGACATGTAACCAGCACCCAAGAAATGTTTAGTGTTGAATTAATGAATGAAAGTAAGAGTAACAGTTTCTCTGGCAATCCCATGCCTTACTCCCAACCAGTAAGTTCAATGCTGGTTTTCAGGCTAATAAAAATGAATTTGGGAGCAAAAGACCTTTGCCTTTTAAAAAACTGAAGCCCTTGAAATAACACTACTTGAGAAGGATGACCAGGAGAGATATAGAGCACATGGTGGCCTTCCCATATGCATTTCTTTCTTCCCCTTCCTAGCAGGGCCCCATACTTCCCAGCCATGCACTTGGGAAGGATTAACCTAATTGCAGTTCTCTGGGCAGACCTCGGTCAGTTCAAGCCATCCAGTCGGTTCCATTGTCCTAGCTACCCTAGCCACAGTGATTGGCTTGGGGATGGCCACCTGGTCCAGATATAAGGTGATTTTGCTTTGGTGATCATTAGGTGGGACAGTCTAAGAATAAAACCATGGGAGACTAAGAAGAAATGGAAAGACACTGGGTCTTCATTGGCTTGTCCAGCTACTACATCTGGCCTTACCTAAGCCCACTCAACCTCTGGTCTTCTCAATTACATAAGCAAACAAAGCCTTTTTTGTTTAAGCATAATGAATACATAATACAATAATACATAACCCCTTGATTCCTTTTATGATTGAGCTCAGAGACTATTTTGTCAAGTTACATCACCCTTACCTTACAGCTTATTATTTTTTTTATTATTATTTTATTTATTTATTTATTTTTTACAGCTTATTTAACTTAAAAAAAATAAACATACCAAAAGACAAACAAATGAAATCCCTAATTTTTCACTCTCTGGTCAAAGCCTTCCAAAGATTCCCTAGGCTTGTGATGTCCCAGGTGAAGGAGGAAATAACAGTGGTTTCAATAAGATAGAAGCTTATTTCTCTCTCATACAAAATAAGGCTGGATTCTGGCTGGTATGGGAGCTACAGTGTCATCAAAGTTCCAGGTTTCCTCTGTCTTTTTCTTCTGCCATACTTAGCATATGGCTTCCATCTTGAATTCACTTCATGGTCCAATGTGGCAGCTAGAGCTCCAGCCATCACATTGATCTTCCTGTTCCAGGAAGGCACAGGAGGGAGAAGGGAAAAAAAAAAAAAGATGACATCAGTAGTCTAGCCCCTCTTAAGGCATCTTCACAGAAGATCAACCCAACAACTTCTGCTTGTATCTCAATGGCCAACCCAGCTGCAAATGTGGCTGACAAATGTTATCTTCCAGCTGGGCACATTGTCATCCAGTTTAAAATCTTGGTTGTGTTATGTAGGAAAAAGGGGAGAGTAGATACTGGGTAGGCAACTAGCAGTTTCTGCCCCACCCCACTTAACAACCAAGCCTGGCTTCGGTGTTCAGTCCTTTTTTTTTTGAATTTTATTTTATTTTTAATACAGCGGGTTCTTATTATCTATTTTATACATATTAGTGTATATATGTCAATCCCAATCTCCCAATTCATCCCACCATCACCACCTCCGGTGTTCATTTCTGTCGCTCGGTACCTGCTCCTCCAAAGAGACCCCCTGGTTCAAGCTGCAATTACTCTCTCTGCAGACCCTTAACATCCCAAGTTGGTCCCCCCTCCACCCTGCCCTCCACCTGCCAAGGATCTTCTGACCAGCATCTTGTGATTTATCCAGTTGAGAAGCACTTATTGAGCCAATAAATAAGTAAATTAGAACACTTTAGTCTTTCATTAGCATCTTGGCTTCAGTTTAACTCATAGCGCACTTGACCTTCTTCTCTGTCTTGCTCTAGTCAGACCCATTCGTACTTACCCTTCTTCATTCACCAGTCTCCCTTGAACTATGTTCTTTCCAACACAGGTCTGCTCTTCAGTATCAGTTTCTAACTTCTTTCTGACATTAACATTCTCGGTCCCATGGGTAAGAGCCTAGGGCAGCAAGGGCTATGGTCAAAACAGCAGCTGAGTGGGGGCTGGTCTGCAAATCTTCATGGATGACAGAGTGTGATTTTGTCTGGGGACAGGTGACTGAGGCCAGGGCAATGACTTCTTTTTCAGTTCTCCCAAGGCCTTCTGACCCGTTCTTGTACATTTCAGATCCCACGGACAGCATTGCAGGCCTCAGTTAGCAATGAACAGCACACACAAGGCAAATCAAACAATAATAATGAAGTGAATTATTGCCTTGCTAGAGGCAACACATCTGCTCCTCCGTATATCACCTGCACAAAAGCAGAAAAAAACAAGAAAAAAAAAATCAATGTCTGATAATGCTAAAAAAATGTGTTACCTTGAGTCCTCATATAAAATTAAAATTTTCCATTTTGATTTTAATTATAAACTGAAAGCTATTGTAACTCAAAAATGTACATTCTCTTATGTCTTTTCAAATAGCAACATCATTAGGCAGATGTGAACAATTATCCCCAACTGGATTTTTTTTTAAGTTAAATTCTTCAGAGTAATAGATAGGTTATTCTTTAAATCCTTGGTTTAAAACTAAACCTATGAGACACAATATTACAGGTTTAACCAAGAGGGCTTGACTTTGGATTTAGAAAGTTTAATTGATCCAGTCATCCCTTTTATTAAAGCTATCCATATATTTTTAAACCAAAGAATTGTAGTAATGCATATTTTAGGGCCAGAAGCATTCATCATCTTGACGACCAAGTGATAAATGGTGAAAAGATTTGAGATCTAAGACACTCTGTTACTATATTGAAAGGTCAGGTAAAGAAATTCCAAGGGAAGGTGTCGGCATATGTCCCCTCTGCTTTTTAATTTCCAATGACAGACACTTAATTTCCATTCCAAACACTTCCCATTTGGATTAAACAGAACTTGATTCTCCAGGGAAAACTGGCAGCATAAACTAAAAAGAAATTCATCTTGCTGAAAAGCGAGTCTGTACTCAGGTGTCACACCACCATCAGCGTGACAGGATCCCCACGGAAAAGCAATGCTGGGAGTGACTTCACTCCCTTAGAAGCACGGTCACCAGTACCCAAGGATGTCAGGGGAACTGGTTGGATCTCAGAGGACGTGTCTTTTTGGTGCAGGAGAGGGCATACTGAGGAAGGCAGATGCTGAAATGGACACGGCTTATCTCAGAAAGGTGGGGAGGGCTAATCTCAGAAAGGTCATTTGAAGGAAAATTTACCCAGGAATGACATTCTCCTCTATCTTGGAGTAGAAGACCAGCCAGATACCGGCAGCCCTACAACCTGGGCTTCTTTCCAGGGCTGCAGCTCCCCTACAGGCGGTTGAGCAATGTCACCCTGGCAGCACAGAAACCCTGGACAGGCCTCTGAGACTGGGGAGTCTGACCAATAGCTCACTGATGAGAAATTGCACTGTCCTTGGAGACATTGCCTTGCCTAGACTTTAAGAGCCTCCCTTGTTTTTTCCCCTCCAGTATACCACAGCCAGATTTCCTCTCCCCTTCCCGCTGTAGTATTTTGCTCCGAGGACCTTGAGCCACAGAGCTAAGGGGGGGGGGGGTGTGCATATCATTTTACACAAGAGGCATAGGTCCTGTACAACTAGCTGTGCGATGTTGGGCAAGTCACTTAACTTCTCTGTGCTTCAGTTGCCACAACAGTAAAGTGGGGATTATGATTGCGTTCACCTGAAACGGCTGTTAACCAGCATTCAGCGAAATCCTACTGGAAAGTGCTGAGGAACAGTGCCTGGCTCATAGAGCTCCACAAAGGCTGGCTGTCACTGCAACTGACAGGGGAGCAGTTTCTCCCTGGGTTTCCACTGCAACACACGTTTGCCTCTCCCAACACGGGACAAAGATGATAAGAAAGTGAAATGTCTCACTTGGTCTAGGAAACCTTTCATTTTGTCAGTGGTTCCTGAGTTATCAAAAGATATCTATGTGTGTGTATGTAGATTCCTTTAATTTCCTAAAGACTATGCTGATTTGGTTCCTTTTTTATCTAATGGTGAAAGGCTATGTATTCAGCCGTTAGGGCAGGCTTCAGGAACATGTGGATAAAATGTAACCAGCGTTATCTTGGTTCAAATTCCTTTTTTGTGACCAACTGTTGTCTCAATGAACCTTTGCAGGGTTTTTGTTGGTTTTTTTCTTAGTTACAGCAGAGAATAAAATAAACACATCCAGGCCTTCTCACACAGATGTAGGCTGACGCCCAGTTAGGTCTGTGGAGGCCTCATTTTGGCTCCCCTGGTCACCATGCCGAACAGATTTCATGCATGTTGAAGACAGTCCATTAGTTCTTGGCAAGGAGGATCAAGTTTTCAAAGCTGCTTTCTCTAACAAGCTCCACTCCCCACCCCCGCTTCTCATACACAAAACCTTGTTGAAGGGGAGAGGCTCTCCCCCATTTGTGGAGAAGAGAGGTCAACCCCATCCAGATCACCCCGAGAGAGATCACCCCGCCAGAGCCTTGACAGTCATCATCTCCAGGACGGCCCTGGACTGTGCTCCATCATTAGATTCCCAGGGCACCACCCAGAGTTAAAATCTCTCCTTCCAGCTCAGGAAAGAAGCATTTTTATTTCAAAATCATACAATGAGAGATTTGAAAAGTAGTTTGCAACCTTCTCTGCCTCTAGGGAAGGCACGTCCATTCACGACTGAAATGTTCCCTCAGTGCATTAGGTGTTGCATTGACTGAGCTTCTGACCTCTCACGGTGCAGCCTAAAAGGAAACAAAGACGTTTTGCCTCTATCTGTTACAATGGAAGTGTAAGCCATGATGATATGGGTTGAGCCAGGGTTCTCAATGGAATCTTTAGACTGGTTCCTGGGAGGAAAAGCCAGTAGGTTTCTGTTATAGTACCAACTGCCACTGGGAGTGGGTTCCTTGACCTAAATGTGCTGTGGGCAAGGCTTCCCTTACCATAAGGGAGTGAGCACTGTAGTGAAAGGTGCTGAGGTGCTGAGGACCAGCACTGTGGGGCATGGTTACCATGGTAACACTGTCAGCCCCAAATGACTGTCATGAGGTGAAAAAATTACCTTAAAATAAATGAAACCAGAAAAGGTATATTTACCAACCTCTTACCAAAACACCTATCTGTATGCAAAGTAGAAACTCTTCCTTAAGCTACAGATACTAGAAGATTGGGAGAAATTTCATGACATAAACATTTTCTTAAAAGAATTGTTACTCTCACCCCCTAAAAATGGTCGGTAAAAATAACGAATACAGATTATTTTTTTAAAACAGGGAGAGTTCTAAGGAGTGATTGGCCTATACACTTAGATATTATGCAGTTATGACATTAAAATTCTGCACTAAACTACCAATAGTTTGTTTGAAATTTGCAGAATGGTACTTGACTGGGAGTTTTCTTCTAAGTTGTACAAATTATTTCTGGCAGGACCAATAAATGTGCTATACAATGGGAAAAAGATATCGGTCACACAGCTAAAAACACACGGGCACAGTTTTTGCCCTGCTCTTGCGTAGCTCCATGTGCGCTTGCCTTTCCTTATGAACAGAACCACCCTTTTATTTAGAGCAGCAGTGTGTCCAGCCAGAATGCCCAGTTTCACAGCCTCCCTAGCAGTCAGAGGTGGCCAGGTGATGCGGTTCTGGGCAGTAACGATAGGCAGAAGTCCCGGGGGTGGATATTGTTGGGAGACAGTTCTCTGTGGTCTCTCTCATTTCTACGTACCTTGCAAGCAGAGGCACTTACTGATAGCAGCAGAGTATCTTCCCAAAGATGCTTGCATAGCATACAGCCTTGGAAGATAGAGATGCTGTCTCTCCAGAGCAAAGGGGAGGCTTGCTTAGAACCTTGGAAGATAGGGATGGTGTTTCACTCCAGAGCAAAGGGCAGGCCTGCCTACTGCCAATTGTGTAAGATTTGGGGAACCTGAGTTCAAGGTTCCTCTCCCGTGAGGCAACCCACTGAGTGCACCGGCATTCCTGTGGGCCTATCTCTGCCACTGCTATGGGACTTGAGGGTGAGGAGAACTACAGCAAATCGTGCTGCATGCTGTGTACTGAGTAATAGTGCTGGCTGCCTCTGACCTAGGAGTCTCGTGACTTCTGCCAGCAACCATGAAACCATGGCAGGCTAACTTCTTAGCTTGCAAACAGGACGAAACCTCAGGCCCTTCATTTTTCTTGGTTGGATAAAAAAAGAAAAGCAGGAGAAAGCTCTTGCCCAGTGGCCCTTCTCTTTTCTTCCTGCCCTAAGGTACAGCAACCATTTGGGGACCACGTGGTGACAGCATGAGGACACAGGTCTGCATGCTAAGGATGGCAGAGCAAAATGGTGATGAACCTGGGTCCTGATAGAGAATTACTGTGCCGCCCTGGATTGCATAACTTCAGGCTTGTTATATGAGATGAATGAGCCTCTACTTACTGAAGTCAGTGTTGTTTTTCTCCAAGCAAATGCATCCCTGGAGTTTGTATCAAATATAGTAATTACATAATAGTAATTGTGTCAAACATACGCAACTTAGGGCACGTATGTTGCTACCTTCCTTACTTCTTGATCCAGATTCTACCTTTCTGTATATTAAAATTATTACATGTATCTTTTATAAGTTAATTCAAATCCTTTTGGGAAAATCAGGGAAAAGTCAATTCAGTAAGTACAACTTAGTCCTGGGCCACATTTATCCCTGAACTATGAGTTATCCCTTAAGTTATTTGTCAAGAAGGCAGTAAAAACAATAGGACTATCTCTTTCTGGAAACATCTACCACATGCCATGAGGTCTGTTTAGTCACCAGTATGTATCCAGCACCCAGCAAAATGGCTGGCTCATAGCAGGCCCTCAAATTCGTATTAACCAAGTATTCATGAAAGGTCTCTCTTTATCAGATGTGTTGGTTATGCCCCCCCCAAAATTAAGATTTAACACAGAGTATTTCAATATATTAGGTCTGTCGTTTGACTATAATAAGCGTTTTAAGAAAAGACCACAGGTCAACTTCAAAGAAACAGCTTCTTATCTTTGTTCCTTATGACTATAAAATGCTGCATAACTTAACAATGGAATCCAGAGAATCTGTTCAACCTTGAAAACTGGTGCAATAGGATAGCAGAAGTAATAACAATCATCCTCAGAGATTAACACATCTTTGAATGTCATGTACACAAATTATTTTTAGAACATTAGATAGAATTTGAAACTTGTGTCAGGGGACTTCCCTGGTGGTGCAGTGGTTAAGAATCCGCCTGCCAATGCAGGGAACACGGGTTCGAGCCCTGGTCCAGGGAGATCC